TTATCAAGCTATAACAACACTGATTATAGTGACCACTAAGGATAATGATGAAATCAAAGTTTTTTTCATACTCCAATAACATTGACGCCAACTATAAAAGTAATTCACTAATTCACTATTTAATAACGAGAATATCAATACTAAAGTATTTTAATCACTTTGAAATTGAAGACATCAACAACAAGGGCATTATATGTAATAATAACAAAAAAGCATTAGTAAAAGCAAAAAAAACAATCAAAATCAAAAGAAAAAAACATACTAACCTAGCATATTCAAAAAATGGTGAAAAAATAGTGACCATAAAGCAGTTCTCAAGATTGATCTACTCTGAAAAATAAAAGCATTAGTAATATATTTACAAGACAAAAGCAACAATGAAAAAAATAAAATCATATGTTTCTGATTAGCAAGTCATGCATTCTACAATCTCAAGAAAGCTTGAAAATGTCCTAAAGAACCTAGAAACAAAAAAAAAATATTAGTAATGCATTTATAAGCAAGAAAAAACAAGAACAACATATATACAAAGTTATACTCTCCAAGATTTTCAAGACAAGCCTAAAAAAAATAAACAAGTGTTAGTAACACATTCACGAATCAAAAAAGCAGACAGAACAAATAAAACATATGCCCCTAATATCAAGACAAGTGCTCACAATTTTGACTTACTTGATAATGGCACAAATCCCATCAATAACAGCCAATGACACACAATTCACCAAGGCACCAACATGAAATGAAACTATAACACCAATTCCAAATAACAGCTCTGGAAATGACGATGACACCAACTCCAAGTGAAGCCAAGGCACCAACACGAAATGAACTATGACACCAATTCCAAATGATGGCTCTAGAAATGACAATGACATCAACTCCAAGTGAAGCCAAGGCACCAATGCATAACGAAACTATGACACCAATTCCAAATGACAGCTCTGAAAATGGCAATGATACCAACTCCAAGTGAAGGAATGACACCAATTCCAAACGATGACAACACCAACATTGACAACCTGAAAACTGTCACAAAAAAAAATTAATGGCTAGTATAACGCGTTGAAACAAAAAATCAAAAAAAATTTAATCAGTTGATCACTATTTATACCCAGTGATCAGGGGTGCATCACGGTGCATGGTGCACCAAATTAAAATTCTCTATTTTTATTATATTTATATTTTATAATATAATAATCATATTATACTATATAACTATTATATGTTAATTACTTAATTTTTATTTGTCTAAAATTTTTTTAAAGTTTATTCTACTTATCGTTATAAATATATATTTGAAAATCATTGTTCCTATTAAAAATTAACCAAATATCATTAAAAATAATTAAAAATGGCATCTAAATCAGATAAATCTCATTTAATTTTAATCGAGGATAAAAATAAGACAATTTTGGAAATTATTTGCTCGCCTAACTTGAAACATGTCGCTACATTGGATGAAGATAGCAATATTAGTCTTTGGTCTATTGATAGTCAAGGGCAATTTTTAAAAAACGTAAAAACAACTCATATTGGCAATATTTGCACCAAAAAAAGGTGAAAGATTATTTGCAATTTCAGATAATAAATATGTTTCAATTGGTCTCAATAGAGACAAACCCTATAATTTTAGTAAGTTATGCATAAATTTAATATTATTGCTATTTTAATAAATTCAATTGCATTTATTATATTTTACATATTTTTCAAGAAACTTTCGATTTTGAAACTGAAAAAGAGGTATCATTAAAATTTCCAGATTGGCAAAGGGAAATTGACTTCTTATCCTTTATTGATAACGGAAATATTATAATGATCAATACTGAATATTACAGAGCATATTTTTTTTCAAATAAAGAAAACATTAGGTGGGCTTGTAAATCAATGATTGAACTAAAATACTTTAAGAAAATTTATATTACACCTAAAGGAAAATTGATCATTTTTAATGATACAATTTATGAGATCACGATGTGGGACATTGAAAAATTGTGGTGTGAAACTCATATTTTAATAGACTGGAATCACACTCTTGAATTTGTTGAAATTAGTGATGATGAAAAATTATTATTAACATGTGCAAAAAATTGGAAAACTAAGGAAACACGTTTGTATACTTTTCCACTGAAACTGGGATAAATCTATCTTCTTATTACAGTATTAAAACAAAATAACCAATCAAATTATTTAATATTAAAATTTTTATTCTTATTTTTAGTTACTACAAAATTGATCATAGATAAATTTCACTTGATCGCTTCTAGAAAAGGAGAAAGATTATTATATATTTCAGGCAAACAATATAATTTAATGGACCCTTATAACCT